GCTCCAGAGCAAACTAATTTGTGCAGTAGCCAAATAGCTCACTCACAACTTTGATGCCAGTAGCTCACAAAGTAGAATTTCTGCACACAGGACTACACAGCTTAGAGGGAACATTGCTCTCATGTCATTTGCAATATGTCTGTATCTGCAGATGTATCTGCCGCTGGTTCAGCTGCAGAAGTTGGTGTAGTATACTTGCTAGTGCTAGACCCAGGTTCAAACTTCAACACTGCCATGAAGTTCACTGAATGACCTTTGGGCCAGTCACACTCACAGGGTGGTATGATAGTGGCAGGAAGTTAGAATTATATGTGGCTTGTCTTTTTCTCCTATACCTGCTCTTTTTTATCGCCACATTCAACTATATTTGTTATCTCTCCTAGGTCTCCTTGATCACGTAACCGTTCTTATTGGAATTGCTTATGAAGGAAAAGCAATAGCAGGAGTTATCAACCAACCCTACTACAACTATGAGGTAGAAGATTATTTGATTTGCTGGAAAGTTTTGAGTAATTCTTATCTTAAGGACATGTCCTCATTTCTGTACACAGCTCTACTAACTGTCTGGAGCTAGTTTGGAGGTTGAGTAACTTGTTTCCCCCCTGAAATTTCTCTTGTCAAATACTGTACCCACAATCCATACTTATTAACCTCTGCAAACCTGCTGCAGTCTATGGAGGACATGGGATTAATTATGAATAAACTTATTGAGCATCTGTGACAGGGACAGGTTACAGAGTGAGCGCACTTAGCAGAGGCCAGGAGGTGCTCCTCAGAAGGAAAGCTCTGAGGCATGGCTGGAAAGCAGGAGGGTACACCAGCAGCTCTGAGAAGCCTGCTCAGAAAAGGCAAAACAAACCCCATGGAGCTGGTGAGGGCTAACAGTGCTGGAGAGAGGCCGAGCCACCAGCCATTACCAGCAGCTGGGGAATAAGTGGGGCAGCAAGTCAGCCAAGCCAGGGTGCTTGGTAAGGCAAGGCTTAAAAACAGGAGAGAGAGGTTTGCTGGGGAGTATGGCAGATGGAATAGCAAGGGAAACTTTGGAGCCATGAGGCAGGAAGAGTGCTTTCAGCTACTTCATTGCACTATATGACTGAAGGACTGAATAAATGACTGGCTGAACTGACTGGAGAGTCCTGTATGTGTTTGGGGGAATGGGACCAATGGATTTTAAACCCTTACCTAGTTGGTTATGGGCTGCAGTACCACAGGTCACCTGGGTGATGCTCAATCCTGCCACAGCATCATTCATAATTACCCTTCAAAATTCCTTCAGGTTTCAAAAAAGGAATTGGAAAAGTGGAACTTTGAATTGGTATATGTTTTGATGCTAATATTATTATAATGGTTTCCGTAACAGATAACTGTAGAATTCTTGTTTTTCACTAGAATAAAGCAGTTATATTATTGTTGTTGTTGTTGTTGTTGTTATTGTTATTATTGTTATTGTTGTTATTGTTGTTATTGTTGTTATTGTTGTTATTGTTATTGTTGTCGTTGTTATATTATTATTTTTATTATTATTGTTATATTATAAATAATATAATAATATAATTATTATATCATAAATAAGCCTGAATACATAAAGTCTTTCTAGATGCCTTGCGAAGTTACCATAACATACTTGCCATGGTGAAGGATATCTGTTGCCCTTATCAAAAAAATCCTAAAAGTTGGGAGACAAAGTGAGTGGGGCAGGGAAAAGGTTACTGATGTGGGCAGGACTTTCCTGGCTATGTGGGTGGAACCCTGACTTTTGCTGTGAGTGTCCCCTTCATGTCGCAGCAAAGCAGGTTTGGGAAAGATTGCAGGAAAGACGGGAAACTTGGGAGGTCGACAAAGCACCATCACGCTGTGGAGGAGTGGGGGAAATACCTTCTCAGTAGCATCCAAGGCAGGGTAAACAATCAGTCTGTAAGAGACCTAAATAAGCAGGAGGAAAGGATAGAATGTACAAAGCAAAGTAAAATGGCATGTAACAACAAGACTCTTCTTGACTTGGTGCTGTTGGTGGGATTATGCTTTTTCCTTTGTTCAGTTCTATAAAAGAGTAGCCTTCTCTCATAAAGATTAATAATGCTTCTTACATCCAGCTTGCCATCTGAAGGAATTTAATTACATACATTGGTTATAGTTTGTCTTTCTCACAGGGACTCAAGGTGGATTACACATAGTGAGTCAGTGCAATCAATAAAATAGGACATTCGGTAACCAGTGCCTCAGGATTTTAGAAGTCTGGAACCCCCAGAAAGAACTGAAGCATAAGTATTCACATGATACATTAAGTGGTACAGAAATTAGATAATAGGATCCTACTTACAATAAGCTATATACAGCAATATATACCACAGTGCCTAATAATTTATCCACACAAGTTTGTTAAAAACCATTTTGTACAGCCCCTTTTGTGGAGCTGAGATAGGTTTAACTGGGCAATAGAACCATAAGGTCTGGATGCCCTTCCTTGTTTTTCCCCTCTGTCATAAAGCATAGCTGTATGCTGTGCTCTGTTGATATGAAGCCTGAATACATAAAGTATTTCTAGATGTCTTGCAAAGGTATCTTTACTATATCTCTATACTATACCTAATCTTTACTGCAAACTGCACCCTTCCAGTGATAGAACCCACACTTTCTCTAAGAAGGACGGTAAATGCATAAAATCTGAAGATATTGCAGTAATGCTGCTGAATCAGTTCTTCTCTTTAAACAACATAGCTGGTAATACCTCCAGTTAGTATACTTTCCATCGTTCTCTTTAAAGCCATGATGAAGGCCATGGTTACCATGTCTTGAATTTTTGTACCTTCTCTGCAGGCAGGTGCAGATGCAGCCCTGGGCCGGACAATCTGGGGAGTTCTGGGGTTGGGTGCCTTTGGATTTCAGCTGAAAGAGGTGCCCGCTGGGAAACATATCATCACCACTACACGGTCACACAGCAGCAAACTGGTCAATGACTGCATTAGTGCTATGAACCCCGATACTGTGGTGAGAGTTGGAGGGGCAGGAAATAAGGTACGGAGATAATTTTATTTCAGCTATACCAAAGTGGGGGTAAATTGTTTTTAAAAAGCTGAAACAACAAGTTATTCTGTGAATGGAGCTAGTGCATTTCTCCCCCTCTCTTAGCTTTCACTACCTTTCCAGGAGACAGGAACAAGGATTAAGTTTTTAGAAGAAAACTCTGTGGTATCACAGATCAGATGTACACTATTCAGTTTACTTGGGTTTACTTACATTGTAGTTATTTTTGTTGAGGGCTGCTTGGGGTGCCTTTGAGGAGAAAGACAGAATAAATAAATACACTGTAGTCCCAGTTAGATATTGTTTTACAAAAGTGCTACAAAACCTTTGTGGACTATTTAAGTTTTCATTGAGTCCTGGGACCTGGTTAACTTATTTATTTATTTATTTATCATATGGCAGTTACCAAACTAAAAGCATATTTGGGCAATGAAAAAGATGCATGCCTTACCTGTAAAACTATTGAACAGAAGTAGTCTTTCTGCTGGAATCAATTTGGGCTGCTTAGGTCTCATCAAATAAAGGATTCCCTTTGTTGCTTTCACACATTTGTAGCAAATTCAGTTTTTCCTATTACTGCAGCAGTGTGATGGATAAGAAGAAAAATATACTCAGAAGTCTACTACTGTGTAGCTATCAAAACTAAACAAGAGAAGTGCACAGTCCTAAGCATTGAAAAAGTCTAGGGTTCTTTTGTTTTTTAATACGTTACGTGAGTATCTCTTTATTGCGAAAAAATGTCTGTGAATTCTTTCTTTTTATCAGATCATTCAACTTGTAGAAGGCAAAGCTTCTGCTTATGTATTTGCTAGCCCTGGGTGTAAGAAATGGGATACTTGTGCCCCAGAAGCTATTTTGCATGCAGTGGGAGGTGAGTTGACTGGTAAAACATGTTTAGAGGAATTGAAACTTTTTCAATGTACTTAAAGTATTGAAAGTTGTCTGTTGGGTGCATTTTTTCTGTTTGCCAGTTGTTGAGCTACTCAGTATTGCTTTGCCTGTGTGTTTTTTACAGTTGGGTTTTCTTGATGTGCCCTTAGCTTAATAAAGTTAGGGGCCAAAGTAGATGAGGAGATTTATGATTCTCAGTGTTTTTAAAAGTAAATTGCAGCTGCAAAAGTTGGGAGAAAAATGATTCAGACTGAGGCCATGGTCCTGAGGGAGAAGGTATTTAACCTTCTCCTTCCTGCATGGTTTCACCAAAGTTGTTGGGAAGGATTTATTTTCTCCCACTGTGCCATGGCCCTGATCCAGATCTCTGTTCCTCATACTCATATGCTTATTCATGCGCACCCACACTCAGACTCTTTTCCTTTAAAAGGTTGGGCCAATCTAATTATGCATCTTCCAGCTTTTCATTTGATTGTACCCTAATATTCCCTAGTAACTTGTGGGAAACATACTATAAAACTAGTCTAAATTAGGACTATACTGTAGATTTGGGGTGAAATGGTATTAGATTCTGTGAAATGGTATTAGGTGCCATGGGTTGTGGAATGATATAGTATAGCCTGATCTCAACAGATCTTGAAAGCTAAGTAGGGTTGATAACTTGGATGGGAGACCACCAAGGAAGACTCTGTAGAGGAAGGCAATGGCAAAACACCTCTGCTTCTTACTTGTCTTGAAAGCCCCTTGCTGGGGTCACTGTAAGTCAGCTGCTATTTGACAGCACTTTATACACAGAGAGAGGGGGGGGTAGGTCCCACCACAAAATGGCTGCCATTGTGGGACCAATCACAAAATGACTGCCAAGGGGGGTGGGACAGGTACACAATGTCGGGAGGTTCAAGCCAAACAGCTCCCAATGAACTGTGGAAAGGGGTGTTTCTTGCAGACATAAAAGTGATGCTTCCTATCATCTTTTGAAGGATCTCCTGTGTTAGTGAGGTGGACAAAAGCTGGAATTGGTTCTCTGTTTTGGAAAAGAAGTGTTTGGGAGAAGAAACAAGTGGGTGTCAGGAATCACATTGGCAAGCACTAATGGGGTCCATGGGTGTCATGTTAGGGATGACTGGTGTGGATGAATTTCAATTTAGATAAACAAGTCTGGAAAAAGAAAGGTCTGTTGCATTGGCAAAAGGAGAACAGTTTTGATGGCCATTTCTTTTCTTTGTAGAGATGCAACTGCTGTGTCTACATGCATAAACACTAATAATTGTTTTCCTTTTTTCAGGCAAGCTTACTGATATTCATGGGAATTTCTTTAATTATAATAAAGAGGTCAAGCACATGAATTCAGGAGGTGTCCTCGCAACCTTGAGAAATCATGACTATTATGCTACTAGAGTTCCTGAGGCAGTTAAACAAGCCCTTGTGCCTTAAAAGATGGATGATGTATTCCACTTAGTTGGGAAGGGACTTCTATATTAATCTTAGCTGGAATCGGTTACTGCTTATGGAACTGGATTAACGTTTCCTTCTGCCATAATGCTTAGCAATCTGTTTTTGTTTTGTTATTAATTGTTGTAGTAGTGGTTGAGAATTTGACTTGATTTTTGGATGGAATAATATATTTTCTTTTTCTTAGCATCCTTAAAAAATATACATGTTTAATATGACAATTCCATATACATTCCTATTGAACAGTTGGATCCCAGACTAATTCCATTACCTTGTTAACTGATTGAAACACACAAAAGCTAATCACACCTCTGTTGCCTTTTGATGGTACCAAATACCCTTTGTATGTAAACATACATATTTTAACTTCTATATGTAGAATATCATTTGTCTTAAGTGGGTTGTCATAGAGAATAAAACAATGATTCTTATATCAAATTGCTTTATCTATAAAAGCATTCACGGAATCAATAGGTTGAAGGTTTAGCATCAACTCCCACTCACTGTATTGCTTGACTCCAGTTTACCTAACTTTTTACAGCTTCCACAATGCAATATTTTAATGGATAGGAAAAGAGCTCTGATATGAGTCTAGCTCTTTGCTAGTGCAGTAATATGGAAAGTATATGGACCTCCCTTTGTTTTCAAGCTTTCTTTAAAAACTAACACAGATGGAGCTGCATCTGTGTTAGAAGATTAGTCTACCAAGGCCACCCTTCTCTATTCTGACTGACTGGTAGTAGGTCTCCAGGGTCTCGGGCAGAGGACTTTCATATCACTATGACCTGATCCTTTCAGCTGGAGATGCTGGGAACTGAAGCTGGAAATTTCAGTGAGCAAAGCTGTGGTACTGTGGCACAATCCCTCCCCAAATGAAATTTCTTTGCATTCATCATTTTACATTCACTTTATTTCCATCCAGAGTTACGAATAGAATACTAAAAAACATGTACTCATTTAAGAAAAAAGCTATATTTTAATAAAACCCAGCATCAACAGATGTAATGGTAATAACATGATTTAGGTTACAACTCTGTTTACAACTTAAGTAAAATATCTGTCTTGGATCAAATTTAACACTCAGCTTTGCAAAGACAGCTACACTTACGATGGCATAGAAGATGTTTAGTGGTTACATCTTTTTTGTTATTGACACTCATTTACTAAGCCTGGCTCCCAAATCCAGTAGGTGAGGAGATAAACCTATTTCTAGGGTGTACTGTGAGGGGGTGCACAATTGGAGGCTCCACCATACAAAACAATTCTTGCACATCCAGAACTAGCGTGTTACAGAGAAACATTCTAACATGGGCAAAAAAAAAGGCTTTTGAAAGAACATGAAGGGACTGCAGTGAAAAGGTAGAATTTAAAAGCTTTGTTGCATGTGTCCTTTCCTTTGTGGCCTTTCAGATTCCTGCCCAGTATGCACTAATGGAAAGATTAGCACTTTGCCTCTTGGCTCAGTCAAGATATCCAAAAAGGGGGTGACGAAGCCCCACCTTGTAGGCTTAGAATTTGGGCATACCTGTGATCTTTGCTTGCTTCTTGCCTTCTCAATAGTAAGCCCAGCAGAAGCAACCATCTTCTGGCTTTGTGTTTAATTTGTTGAAACTAACACACTAATAATTTTCATTAACTGAAGCATGCTGTTTTATGTTGATGCTACTGATAAACTGAATACAGTAGGCTCCATTACCCTAGCAAGGAGACTTTTTTAAAGCGAAGATAGCCAGTGTGATATAATGGTTAGGGTGTCCAGCCAGAATTAGGGAGAGCCAGGTTACTAGCACCAACTCTATCTTGATGTTACCCAAATAGGCAGTCTCCACTTAGTTTGGGGGAATTAACTTGAAGATGGAGTGAGAGGTGAATCTCCACCTATGTATACAGGGATTGTCTCCATGAGAAATCTCGGAAATAATCAGGCTGTTATTTACAGGAAAGGTTTTTATTGAAACAAAAAGAAAACAGAATAAAACAAGGATTCATATGGCAAAAAGCTAACTTGGAGAATCAGGGAGGAAAGGGGACAGCGTTGTAGAAATAGGTGATATTTACTAGTCTTGAAGATTGCTGCAGAGGTAGCAAGTCAAAGAGGAAATGGCCAGCGTTTCAGGAAGTGAGAGAAAGGAGAGGACCCACATTCAAGTGAGTATGTGAGTGGAATCCAAGAACACACACACACATTGCTGGGGCAGCAAGGTGACATATTTATAGGGTAAAAAGTACCCTGAGGCACGTTAACTCATCACCAGAGAACAATGAACTGTTCATTCTACCATAGGTAGACAAAGGCGGGAGAGGTTTGATGGCCCTACAAGCACCAGACAGGAAGGGTGATAGGGATGGTGAATAGACTTAAGCATTGATTAAGAGAGCCAGTTTGGTGTGGTGGTTAAGTGTGCAGATTCTAATCTGGGAGAACCAGTTTGATTCCCCACTCCTTCACTTGCAGCTGCTGGATGACCAATGGCAAACCATAGTTCTGTCAGAGCTGTTCTTGAAAGAGCAGTTTCCGTCAGCTCTCTCAGACCCACCTACCTCACAGGGTGTCTGTTGTGGGGAGGGGAAGGGAAAGGAGTTTGTAAGCCGCTCTGAGACTCCAAGTGAAGGGCGGGATATAAATCCAAACTCTTCTTCTTAATCACTATTTAGTCATGGGTAATGGGTGAAGCAAAGGCAGGCTTGGGTGCTGAAGGGATTATTCCTGAGTGTACGGGTGACCCATTTTTCTGAGTCATGCATCTCTCCAGGGCAAGGAGGCAGTAGTAGCCAGCCAAGCTTGAAAACTGCTTTCCTAGGCCCCTGCCAGACCGGCATCCATTTTGAGTCCACTTTGGCCCAAGCAGTGCCCTGCGCTTAGGGTGTTGGGGTGATATATAGAGGGGTGTTTCTAGTTTTGTAACCATAAACTGTCCCTCAGTGGGAGGAGGGGTCGGACTGCTAACAATGAATCATTTTCTTGCACCCTAGCTAACAATCATTTTCTTGCACCCTAGCTTACTGTGCGGGGAGCAGTGGCGCAGTGGGTAAATCCCCTGCATAATTATAACATCTGAACTGCCAAGCTTTGTCAGTTCTAGCCCCGCGCTGGTGTGAGCAGCCAAGCCTTGTCCCTAGCTCATCGTGGACCCAGCGATTCGAAAGCTTCGGCAAGTAAATAAATTGGGGACCATGGGCACACCACTCCCCTGGGGAGGTGTTAGCTGCCAGTGTGTGTTATCTGCTGCGTGAGATCAAAAAGTGGAAAAATCTGTTTCGGCATCCCCTGCAGTGGAGCGAATCGGCCAGGCGGTGGCAGTGTGGTAGTGCGACATCGAGAGCCCTGATCAGCCAGCCAACAGAATACATGCCGTCGGGACATGACTGATACAGCCTGCAGATGGATCCTCCGACCAGCTACAATGTGTGTGTGATTAAATATTGTATGTTGTCTTCCCTATCCCCCACGAATAACTTGTTAGTCCATTGTCTCTGAGTAACTGTAAATTGCTCTGAGCCCGCATGAGTGGGAAAAAGTGATCAATAAATTGAAGGTATTATTATTATTTGTAGTATGCATTGGGGGGGGGGGCGCAGAATGATGTACTCTCCTCTGAACTGTGGGCGGAGTGTAGTGTCAGAGAATGTAATTTTACAACGTACATGGCCATTATTTTTGATGTTAGAATATTTTGGTAAATATATTTTTCTTTGTATTTCTCTTAGGATATATCTATGTTATTTGTAGTTTATAAGATTATTTATCTCAGTTCTTTCTCTCTGTTTACTACAGAGGCTGTAATTTTAAAGGAGAAAGGCAGCACAGGAGGAGAGAGCTATT